GGCGCGCCGCGTCGCGCCGCGTCGTGATGCAAGGCATGGATGCGGCGGCCCGGCAGCGACTCCAGCAGCCTCCAGCAGCCTCCAGCAGCCTCCAGCAGCCTCCAGCAGCCTCCAGCAGCCTCCAGCAGCCTCCAGCAGCCTCCAGCAGCCTCCAGCCGCCTCCAGTAGCCTCCAGCAGCCTCCAGCCTGGGTGGCCCAGCAAGGCAAGGGCGCGCGGTGGCGCTGGGCGCAGTCGCCACTGTCACCCTTGGGGCGCCCAATTGGGCACCTTGATGTCGGACACCATCATCATCATCGCGCCGCTGGACGCGGCGGGGCGGGGCGGGGCGGGGCGGAGCTTGGTGGGGCGTGGCGGATAGGGGCAAAGTAGGTGCCGCCCTGGAAGATTGTTATCACGGCGTCGCATTCTCCTTGGGCATGACGCGCACACACACACACACGCACAGCCTAATTATTCGAAGCAGCTCGGCGTGCGACGGACGGCTCCCACTTGATCTAGGCGTTGACGCGCCGCGGCCCAGTCAGGTGCAACAAATGGTGCAGCGGGGCGTAATGTCGTAAAGACGCCTGTCAAACTTTCTCTCCAAATCGTTGATGGCGAGGCGAGGCCTCCGCCGCCTTCCGGTGCACCGCGAGGACGAGGCCGCCGGGGGAGCTGCGGCGGGGCGGGGCGGGGCGGGGCGGGGCGGGGCGGGGCAGGGCGGGGCGGGGCGGGGCGCGGCGGGGCGGGGCGGGGCGCGGCGGGGCGGCTCATCGCCGTCGTCGAGAGGCGCGCGGCGGGAGGCGGCGGAGGGCGTCCTGCATCAGATGAAGAAGAGCGAACGGCAGACAATGCGGGAAGCACTTTGGCGCGTGCAACAGCCCAACCTGGGAACGCTAACAAGCGGCACAATGGCGACGCACGCGCCGCTCCGGCCGGTCCAGCCACCCAGCAGTGCAGCCCCCGGCGGCCTCCAGGCCTCCAGCGCACGCCGGCGCCAGGACTCCGGGACGCCCAGAGGCCCTCGTCAAACGCACGTACTCCGACGACATGGCCGGAAACAAAGGGCGGCTTAAGGTGCAGCCCCCGGCGGCCTCCAGGCCTCCAGCGCACGCCGGCGCCAGGACTCCGGGACGCCCAGAGGCCCTCGTCAAACGCACGTACTCCGACGACATGGCCGGAAACAAAGGGCGGCTTCTAAGGTGTGCTGTTTCCGGGCCCCGCCGCCACGGCACCGCGGCGGCACGCCCACCGCCACGAATGAGTGCACCGCCACGCCGCCAGGCCGCCAGGCCCGCAGCCAAACAGAGGGACAGAGAGACATGGAGGCGCTTTCTCCCCGATTGATATGAAATAACAGCAAAGTCCACGACCCCGGCCGTCCCTTTCCCTAATTAGCCTGCAGGCCGGAGCCGAGCGAGCGTGGCCGAGCGCGACTCTGGACGATAAGGTCTCAGAGGTTCGATTCCGCGCATCATAATTTTTGCATAATATGTAGCTCAGTGACTCAGTCCCCGCTGCGGTACAATCCATCTTTCAGGCGGCGAAAACTCAAAACACGCGTGCTTTCCCCTGAAAACAAATTCCTACGTTCATAAGACGCGGAGTCTCTTTTCATTTTACCGGTGCGACCGGGTGCGAGTCCATAGCTGTCGCCACACCAACCTGCCATGCCATCAAACTCCCGGCCGTCGTGCTGCAGAGTCCGGAGTGGCGTGTTGTGGGTCGGCGCGACATCCTCCTCTCCAAAACATTTGCCTCCGCCCCCCTCCCCATCCCACTTCCCTTCCCATGCCCCCCTGCCCCAGGCCGCCGCGGGCCGCCCGGACTGTTTACAAGGCGCACACAGCGCCCCGAGCCTCCGCGCTCTCGCGGCTCGCGGCGCGCAAACTTGTGCTAAATAAAAGCTTCCGCTGCCGGTCCTGCAGCTTGGAGCGCTTGGCGCAGCTTCCTGCCAATTCACCATCTTCCCGCGGCCAGGCCGCCGCGCTGTTAAGTGAGGTGAGGCCAGGGCGACGCGCCGCGCCTCCACAAGCACACCGCCGTCCAGGACGGCGACGTGGTTCTGGGAGAGGCCCGTTCCAGCGCTTCCAGCGCTTCCAGCGTGACAGCCGACTTCCGGCGCCGCGTTTTAAAAGCCGTTCTGGAGGAGACCCCGATGGGCCTGATGATCCCGTGGGATTCGGCCGCGTACTTCTCGGTTCAATGGCGCGTACTGTCACTACACCGCAATGAGGCGGTGGCAACCAACGGCAGCCAACGGCAGCCGTCCCCGCAAACGACTCTTTGATATCTCCAGACGCGGCCATCGGGCCGTCTGGACTTGCAGCCGCTCCAGCCGTTCCAGCGCTGCGGTGGAGGTACCGGCGCACGATGGGCCAGCGGCCAAAACTCTTGACGCGTTTTGAACTCCAGAGTCGCTACAGCGGACTCGAATCGAGCGTAAGACCCCACCAATGGATTCCTCGTTCGAAGAGCAATCCATTGGTGGGGTCACACGTTCGGTTCGAAGCCATTTAGTGACTCTGGAGCTCCAAACGCGTCCAAGATTGGCCGCCTCCAGCGATCCTCTGGTCCACAATGAGGCGCTCCAGCCGTTCCAGCGCGGTACCAGCGGCACCTGACGACTGCCGGTTCTCTGGAATCCCCCTGCCGCTCCAGGATTTGGCGACACAAACCTGCTGCGGGCGGCGATAGGCCAACCTCGGGGGGGGGCTCTACCGCTGGAGTGGCTGGAGAATGCCTGGCAGAGCCCCAGCCTCGGCCCGCCTCGGCCCCAGCCGGCGATCTTCGCGGAGCACCTGAGCCGCCTGTCGCTCTGTCGTGCGCCCTCGCCACACCCACCACACCCGCCACTGGGTGATTCCGTGCGTAGGGGGTCATTTCAGGTCACCGGGGCCTTGCGCCTGAACTGAGGTTGATTTGGTAGCTTGGGCAATTCAAACTTGTTTTACTAAACGAAGACCATGTCCTCATGTGGATAAGTCGATCTAACTTTTGTTTATCTGGGGTTCGTAAGCTGCTAAAGTGTCGTTTTGTAAGTTCCGTCATGGTCACCAACACCTATAAGACAACATTGCCATGCTGTAGTATATGACTCAGCCACATCAAAAGAAAACTGGCTATTTCACTCTCTCCCCTGACTTATTCTTCACAAAATTACGGAGGGTGACCTTTGTATCATCACTTGTTGAACCCGAAACAACCTTTGGGAAAATGTCCACCGTGTGACCATGTGACCTATGCTGTTTTTACAAATGACGGTCTACTGGGGTTCTTTTTCATTTTAGAAACTCGCGACCACTTGGGATCGAAAGAACATAAAAAACACTTCCAGAAGCCCGTGCCCACGGGACCTGGGGCGGTCAAACGACGCTTCCAGGCCGTCAGAAGAGTTCAAAACGGTAAGGGTGTAAAAATGGATGTAAATTCCGTTTCGGGCCGTAGCTCCTCCATCTGAGGGAGAAAGTTCCCACAACCTTCGCTGAAAAATGCTATTTTGGATGCTGAAAATGACACCGTCAACAGTTTTTACCTATCTTGTAACCCAGCGGTTCAGGAGACTAAAAACTTCGCTTTGTAAATTCCGTAATCTGTAAATTCCGTCATTATTTCTGTAAATTCCGCCGTATTTCATAGGGAGTGAAAATAAAAGTCAACTTGTAGCGCTGCCACGCTCAGAGGGGTACTGTGGGGTACTATGTATGCCATCTACACCAAATTTAGCCCCTAAAGTTGAACTTTAAAAAAGAACATTTGGTACATCCAAAATGACCCCCTACGCACGGAATCACCCCACTGCGGTCTCACCTCAGCGCGACAACTGTGCAAATGATGATACAGCCTCGCCAGAAACGAAGAAGAAGACGACGGTGAAAACGCAAACGCGGGAAAGGTGCGGGGCGGAAAGCTACCGGCGACATTGTCAGCGTCCGGCGGTGCGTCCTGCCGGAGGCGAAGTGAGCACAGTGCGTGCGACTTACCGAACAAGCTTTGTATCCAGACATGATGCTGCCGCTACGCCCTTAGCAGGTCCCGGGCTTCAGAGTCACCATTGGTATCCTTATCACTCGCACTCACACACGCGCGGAGATACGGAAACACACACACACACCAACACGCGCGGAGGTTCGTCCAGCTGATTCGCAGTCCGGTCCGATTCAGCGGCGCCGTGCGACTGCCTGCCTCACTGCGCGGCTACGCGGCGCGCGCGGCCTCCATGCCGGCCAGGGCCCCCGGGGGTTCCTCGCCGTCGCCGCGGTCGTCGCGGTCGTCGCGGTCCTGACACCTGTCACCGTGATAACGGTTGATAAGGCGGCGCGGCGGTGCGCAGGCCCGAGCGGTACGCCGGAGCAGCCGATGAACTGCGACGTCGTGCACGTGCAGCGGCCCGTTGCGAGCTGGCGCGAGCTGGCGGCACGGCGGCGTGGGGCACACTGACTGCCGACTGCCTGGCTGCGGAGGGGCGCCGGGCCGCGGCCGCTACAGCAGCCGAACCGCAGAGCCCGCGGAGCGCGCGGAGCCGGCCCGTCGCGGGAAGTGTGGGGGGGGGGGGGGGGGGGGGGTCCTCGCCGGTGCGATGTAGCGAGGCGGCCCGAACCGCGGCGTGATGCTCAGCTGGAGAGTAAAGCGTTGTTTTGGTGCCGCCCGCCCCCTTCGCCTGCCCCCTCGGCCACCCGCACCGACGCAGCGGTGACGCTCCACTGTCAAAACCTTCACTCTTTCCCTCGCTGCGAGAAAGGACGAGTAAATACGTTGCTCCGCCAGAAAAATAAAAATGTTGTCTAAACGTTAGTGAATTGTTCGCAGAGACTCAAACGCCGGTCAGTTCGATCGTTTTGGAGTGTAGTGTCGACGATGATTGCACGCTGACAGTGGCCGACAGGGTTGAAACGGCGGGGTTCAAGGTTCAAGTCCCCACCTTTCTTACATTTTCTGAGGCGACTATGTGTCTTCCGCCGGGTGTAAAGTATCACGTAAAGTTGCCGTTCGGAGGAAGGCGCGGCGCAAAGAAAATGGGTTTGATGGCAAAAGTTACGATCGTTTTTTATTGGCTATTCATGAACAGGATGGCGAATACTGACGGCGGCGCGCTGTGATAGTAACACGTCGCGTGCAAGGCTGGCCTGCCCGGCGAGTCGGGCCCGGGAACGACAGTGTAGCGGTTGAGTCAGGTGAGCGGCACCGACCAGCGGCGCCGGCCAGGTAGGCCACCCATCCGGCACGTCGGCACTGTAGGTGGCTCGAACGCCGCGAAAATTGAAGTTGCGAATCGCGCGCAAAGAAAAAGAATGAAAGCGGAATGCAGTAAGGAAGGTTTGTTGCAGCTACATAAAACGGAGCTCAAATATTGGCTTGGGCAGTGGAACAACATTCCAAGCAATTTTTCTCTTGGTAACCAGGGAATGCCTTGGTGACAACCACGGCCTCGACCATGGCAGACCGTTCATTGGTTGTGGACAGCCGTTTTGCGTCGCTGTCCGAAACTGTTACGTCATTTATAGTCATTTGATGCACGTCGATGCACTGATAGTGTCGCTGTGTTTTTTCCGTCCCGCGGCCACACAGAACACTCGGCTGCTCTTCTCTGATCGACGCGCGTAACCGAAGCGGCCACGCCTCACTTGGTCGACTTGGTGAACTTCGTCGACTTGGTCGACGTTGGGGAACTCGTTGACCTTGGTGAACTTGGTCGGCTAAGTCAAATTATTTCATGGCGGTCGCCTCGCCGCGGGCGTGCCCACTACGTCATGGGGATGGCGGGGGGCTTCTCGTCCTCCTTCTCGTCGGGCTGCCGGTCCCAGGGCTGCACCGAGGCCTGCGCCGTCAGCAAGTACACCACGTTGCTGCCCATGAGCACGCCGAACGTGATCCAGAACGTGGTCCGCCACTCCAGCAGCGACGACTGCAACGAACATACAACATGACGCTCCGCGCGACTGGAGGCACAGAGGGTCTGTCTCTCTCGCTCTGACGCATGAGAGCGTGGCACAGCAGGCCAGAAGACCGGTGAGGCGGACAAAACTCTAGACGCGTTTTGAGCTCCAGAGTCGCTAAATGGGACTCGAACCGAGCGTGCGACCCCGCACCAATGGATTCCTCGTTCGGAGAGCAATCCATTGGTGGGGTCACACGTTCGGTCCCAGCCCTGTTTAGCGCGACTCTGGAGCTCAAAACGCGTCTCGAATTCTGGCCGCCTCCACCGGTCTTCCGGCACCGCGTCGTACTCACGTGCGGCGTGAGCAGGCCGATGAGGATGGGGGACACCATGCCGGACACGGCGCCCAGCCCGTTCACCAAGGCCATGACGGTGCCCGCGTAGTGCTTGGACAGGTCCAGGCCGTTGACGCGCATGCCCGGGTAGAAGGCGCCCATGCCGCCCATGCCGGCCGTGAAGAGCGCCACCACCAGGGTGGACTCGCAGCCCGCGTACGACGCGCCGATGATGCCCAGCGCCGGCAGGATGGACGCTGCCGAAACAAAATCCCGCATTTTAATCTCCTTTGGCATCTTGCAGATTGATTCCGAGAGTCGTTTTCGTCGCTCTGGCTCTCTCGCACTCGAAGGGCTTCCCGCAAAGGTGCGAGAGAGACAGAGCGACGATATTGAATCCAGTCTGCTGGTTGGACGAACAGCGACAAGAGCACCACCTAAGCTTACCCAGCGTGGTGAAGAACTTGCGCACGGTGACCACCCTCCACCTCTTGGTTGCGATGATCCAGTCGGCGACGGCGCCGAAGATCATGGAGAAGACCCACATGACGAGGTACGGCAGCGCGGACAACAGGCCGTTCTGGAAGCGCACAGCGATCGCGATGACAAAATTGAAAAGGAAACCAAGTCTGGCAAAATGGAGAAGGGAGATGTGGGCCTTGCCTTGCCGATGCTGAACTGCAGCACGCTCTTCATGTACTTGGGCAGGTCGGTGACCATGGTGAAGAAGCCCCAGTCGTGGCCGACCTGGGCGACGGCCAGACCCCACACGGGCAGGGAGGTGAGGATGCCGAACCACGGCGTCGGCGCGATGCGCTGCAACAGCGGAGAACTGTCAGCCTCCACTGCACAGTGGGCCAGAAGACCGGTGGAGGCGGACAAAACTCTAGACGCGTTTTGAGCTCCAGAGTCGCCAAACAAGACTGGAACCGAGCGTCTGACCCCGCGAATGGATTCTTGGATCGGAGAGCAATCCATTGGTGGGGTCACACGTTCGGTTCGAGTCCCATTTAGCGTCTCTGGAGCTCAAAACGCGTCCAGAGTTTTGACCGCCTCCACCGGTCTTCTGACCCAGTGTGCAGCGGGGCCTGCAGCCGCCGGCAGCGCGGCTGGAGCCTACAGCCTCTGGCGCACTGTAGCGGCAAGGTCGCCGGTCGACACGGCGCATCTCTTCCGAGTTCTAGTTCTCATAACAACGTGACGAGCGGACAAGGTTCACCAGACCCCACTCGAAATCCGCCACGCTGCGGCAGTTTTCGATATCCTTTTCGAAACTGGCGGCGTAAGGGATGACCTCGCCACATTCTCATCCTTCAATCGACCTTTTATCAATATTCATTTGTGCGCATTAATAGAGTTTTGTTAAGAATTTGTGAAGACGAAATTGAAAATATTGTTGGTAGACCAAACAAAAGTCAATACGTTACTGAACACAAACTCGGTACGAGTCTGAGAGTGCAGCCAAAAACAACGAGATTACGTCCTTCAGCCGCTGGCGAAAATGAGTGGCACCTGTTTGGTTCAAACTCGCCGGTTCATCCGCTTCATCTCTGCACCCTTTATCTCTCCGCTGCGGACTCCCCGCTAATCCTTCACTTGACTTCACCTTGCCGAGATTGGAGGCCTTAATCTCGCGGTGCAAATAGTCGCGCTCCTCGTCCGAGATGAAGGGGTGCTCCTCCGGCGTGGAGTAGCACAGCACGGCCCACAGGGCGTACCACACCACGCCCACGGCGCCGAAGAAGTAGAAGGTGACGGGCCAGTCGAAGTGCGCCAGCAGCACGCCGCTGATGGCCGTGCCCGCCACCGTGCCGAGCTGCGCGCCTGCGGACACGCCAGAGGCGCTCGTTATACACAGTGGACCAGAAGACCAGTGGAGGCGGTCAAAACTCCGGACGCGTTTTGAGCTCCAGAGTCGCTAAACGGGACTCGAACCGAACGTCAACATCAATGGATTGCTCTCCGAAAGAGGAATCCATTGATGGGGTCACACGCTCGGTTTGAGTGCTAGTGACTCTCGACTCTGACTGCGTAGCTCCCTCACCGGCGAAGACGAAGGACCCCAGCCGGCTACGCTCGGCGGGCGGCACCCAATGCGCGAGGAGGACGCTCACCGCCGGGAAAGTGACACCCTGCAAACAACACATTTTATTGGCAAAATATTGAAAACAAGCTAACGACATTTAAGTTTCTTGTCTCACCTCCCCCAGCCCCATGATGATCCTGAGCCCGATGAGGTAGACCGGCCCCAGGTAGGCGGCGGTCGGGGTGAGCAGGGTGGTGAGCGCCGTGGACAGGATGCCCAGCCCCAGGGTGTGCTTGCCGCCGAAGCGGTCGGCCAGCACGCCGCCGGGGATGTGCGACACGATGTAGCCGTAGTAGAAGGAGCTCAGCACCACGCCCTGCGTCGTCTCGTCCCAGTGGAAGTCCGGCGGCCGCTGTACGGGCAACGAGTAATGAGTAATGAGGCACGTCGGTGCTCACTCACGCCCAAAGCAGTGGCGTGGCTGCCACTCGAAAAGTTGGGACTCGACAGGTCGCCAAGGCCGGACTGGCACACTGTCGGCGTTGACACTGGTCTCCACTGGTCGACACGGTGACCCGCGAGGCGTTTCGCACACCGCGACTCGCCCAGCGAAAGGTCAGGGATGGGTGAGGCTCGCCTGCAGCGTTTCGCAAAACTTTCAGCACTCCTTGACCGCAGGAAGGTCGTGAAACCCCGGTTCTACGAAGGCAGTTTCGGGTACGCTTTTCCAAGCCGTTACTCGAAGACCAACGCACAGTAGTGGGCGAGAAGGGAGAAGACCGTGGCGCAGGTGGCCATAACTCTGAGCTTCGGAGTCGCTTGGGACTCGAACCGAACGTGTGACCCCACCAATGGATTGCTCTCCGAACGAGGAATCCATTGGTGGGGTCACACGTTCGGTTCGAGTCCACAGTGCACTGACCTGCTCCTGCGGGGAGACGATGACCTCGGAAGTGTTGGTGGGCGTCACGTGACACTTGTAAGGGTCCTCGTACGTGGAGTTGTGCACGATGGACGTGGCCATCTGCACGATGGCCACGGAGAGGCACGTCCTCATGGTGTAGATGTTGAGCACGGCGAGGAGCAGCATCAAGGACATGACGAGGCGCTGCTTCAGCCATCCTGGAACCGCCAACGTCACACGCTTCACCGCTTTCCGAGAGCACTAATCCAAAGATTGCTTCAGAGTCCCTTTCATTCAGTAATCAAAACGTCAGGAACCAGCAGCGCGCCGCCTAGCGCCTATATTGGGCCATTACTGTACTGCCGAAAGCTGAACCCTGATTGGTCACAAAACGCATGTCTGGAGTATGTTCACTCGAGGGGCTGTTAGGTGGTGCACAGGTGGCTCCCGCTTTTTCGATTACTTTGCTTATTCACTCGTCGACGAATAAAAGGTTCTATCCGTAGAATTATTTAAGAAACATTACTGTTAGTAAAAATCGCAGCAGAAATAGACTAATGCTCAGCGTGGTTCTCTCCTCCTCTCACGGTGTAGCATTTCTTACGATCCTCTTCATAGATTCTGAGGAGTGCTGTACGGCATCGAAGCGTAAAAGGGGTGCAAGGATAGGCGAGGCGCCAATTCTGTTGCGGGCAAGGCTTTCTTCCCGGAGCTCCAGCGCCTTTGCGTCTTTATGGCGCTGCAGACCGATTCCGAGAGTCGTCGCTCTGTCTCTCTCGCACCTACAGGGCGCGCCCCATGAGTGCGAGAGAGACAGAGCGACGTCCGAGCGCGCCGTAAATTGTTCTGCCTTTCCCGCTCGACTCTGTTGCTGGCGGCTTCGGCTGCTGTTCTGTCGCTGCGCGTCACACGCGTATCTTTGGCACTCTCATCCTCTGCGGGCCGAGGGGGTATGCGCTCTCTGAACCTGTGTACCGACTATTACGCTATTACGCTCTATTACACCACAAATTAATCGGAATTTAGCTAAAAACGGCCTAAAACACACCAAAATTGATAAAATTTTGACAATTTAGGCTATTACGCGACTATTACGCGTATTATTACGCGTGCTATTACAGATAGAGTGAACCGACTATTACGCGAGTGCATACCCCCTCGCTGCGGGCTCTTTGTTTGTGAACCATTGACACGTTTGGCAGGATTAATAAGATTTCTCCCGTAATCTTGATGAAAATTGCAGCAAGTCATTATTGATTAAGACGATTTTTCTGCTCGTAATTAATTAACGCCATTAATGCACCCAAACGTCTCTACGTTGCAGCGGACGAAAATATTGGTGCGAGTTTGAGAGTGTAGCATACAGATACGGTGGCGCGATGTTGTCCCATCCCGAACCAATTACGCCTCGAACTACTCGACTTAACACTTTATCGAGCGCATCTCGAGAGGAGTGCGACAGAGACGGTGAGCACCGTGTCGTACCACCGGCCTACATTTCACAACTCGCTGGCCTTTGGCGTCGCTGGCTTTTTCGGGGCGGGTCGCATCGGAAGCTGTCCGGTCCGTTCTAATGAGTGAGGAGGAGGGGTGGGAGCGCACGTGGGGCAGGGCAGGACAGGACCACCACGACAACAACTCGAGTCGCTGACTGGCGGCACGCGCCTCGAACTTCTCCCTACTCACGCGCCAAACACACGACCAGTGTACCATCGTGACCACCAGGGCCACCTCAGCCACGCCCGGCGGCCGAACTCACCCTAGCACTGCCTTACCTCCGCAGGTGCACAGCTGGCGCAGCACGGTGGTCATGGTGCTGGCGGCGAAGTGCGTGTTCGTCGTGTCCGTCTACGCGGCGACAGGTGTCGCGCGCCGAGTCTTCCGTCGGCCACCCTGTGACGCGCCGCGACTACCACCGCGAACTGGCGGTGCTGGCGCGCTGCTGGCCGCCACGGTAGTCCGCGAGGCGCGCGCGACCCGCGACGCCACTCAGAAGCCAGAGCAGCCAGAGCCACCTCCATCACACCTGCGCTGCGTCCGCTGCGTCCGCCGCCGCGGATTCGGATCGCGCCACCGCGGCCGCGGGGCCGCCGTCGAGCCGCTGACGCTGCACGCCGCCACGCGTGCCCCGCGCTCTGGAGAGCGACCGCAGTGGGGCGGCGGCGCCGCACAGTGGGTCAGAAGACCGGTGGAGGCGGCCAAAACTCTCAACGTGTTTTGAGCTCCAGAGTCGCTAAATGGGACTCGAACCGAACGTGTGACCCCATCTTTGGATTCCTCGTTCGGCGAGCAATCCATTGGTGGGGTCACACGTTCGGTTCGAGTCCTGTTTAACGACTCTGGAGCTCAAAACGCGTCTAGAGTTTTGGCCGGCTCCGCCGGTCTTCTGGCCCACTGTGCGCCGGCGCCGGCCCCGCCGCCTCTCCCAGTGTTATAGTCCCAATTTCAATGTTTATCGCTCCAGCTAACCGACCCCGTGCTGCGTAATGGAGCCTGGCTAGAAGTGACTTCGAAGGTTGAGTTCTACGATTCATATTTCCCTCCATGTCCTCACGGCAACAATATGCGACCAGTGTCTTTATTGTCGACTTGCGAACAATACATGAGGGAAATTGATTCGATAGTTTTTCTTCCTCTTATACATCCAAGTATCCCAGATGTCCCGTTCTTGTTTGTGTTCACGTTGTGCTCTCACAAGCGCTGGTTCTCCGTGTACGATTTTCAGCTGTCGAGGGCTGCTTCCTTGACTTGTGCTGGTCTTAGCGCCTGCGAGGTAGGCCACCACCCAGGTCTGCAACACACCGGTGTAGAGATGGTGGCCTACTTAGCCCCTGCCGCCTTCGCAGGGGCAAGATAGGCCACCGTCTGCACGCCGGTGTCTTGCGGGACTGGGCGGTGGCCTACCTCGCAGGCGTGGAAGGGTGGGCAAGATGGGTGGCTGCTAACCCTTAAACACCTTAAACCCACACGGTAAAATCGAAAGTTTTACATGTCCAACCACCATCAGATGCGTGATCCCGTTTGAAGGATCGATCCATCCCTCTGTTTTCTGCTTCCGATGGAGATCACCAAGGAAAATAACTGTTCCAGCTACTAGAAACCACTGGCTAAGCTGTGATCTGAGGGTCACAGAGTGTAGTGTCGTCGCCAGATGTGGCCTTGTTCGTTGGAGACCAAATTGAACGATTCAAACGCCGACCCACACAGGCCACAACAAACCCTCACTTGTTTCGGTCTGGTGTCGAGTCGTCTGCTAGCTAGCAGAGTGTCGAGCCGAACGGCCAAAAGCCTCTCTTTCTCGCTCTCGCAGAGATTGAGGTGCTTGGCTTTGTTTATTGTGTTGTTTTGGCTGAGGCTACCTTGATCCGTTTAATGCGTTATTTTCGTCGTACGTGTGTTTTATTTGAGCCCAGCCACTCTAATCAGCACAGCCGCATTTTGGGCGGCAGTGCAACGACCTTCAGCTTTGCTATCATTTGTCAATGTTCTGGGGCGGGCAAGTAAACCGTTTTGTCCCGACAAATTTTCTTTAATTTCGAGGTGCGTTAATCATTATACTCTAGGAGTTTTTCTCATGCGTAATATTTCAGATAAGTTGTCTGCTAGTGAGCAGTGAACCTAACCTAGAGATGCTTTGTTGTTACAGTGTGTTGTGCCGTTTGGCTGGCTACTCTAAACATGAGGAGCAGAAATATTGGATGGGTAATGTCCTCTTACCTTGGATGTCGACATGCTCCACTTGCCGTCGGGGGTGTGAATTGTGGAGGTTCACTACAAGTTCATAGATTGTCCCAAAATGTCAGTGTGGCCAGCGAAAGACAGAAACTGTCTTTAAATGGAAAGAACACAATCAAGATTGGACAGAAAAAATATGTAGTTAAGATAGATAAAATACAGAGTATTAAAGACAGTGTGCTACTCTCGTTAGTCAACATGTCGGTGTTTCATGCAGATAAACCATTTTTAGCTCCTGACGAAAAAATAACTAAGGTAGCTTCATTGCTGAATATCGTGTTTCTTGTATCATTCATTAGTATTGTCAATTGACTTTTATTCCTTGTTTTTTTTTCAGGAAGTTCAGTTTGTTCCAAAAAGTCCCTCACATGTTGCATTTGCTAAAGAAATGTTATCTTTGAGAGTAAGATCTAAAAAAGAGAGGATTTTAATTCTGAATAATTATGAGTCACCTACAGGTGTGGATTGTTCCCTTTTTTATAAGTATTTGTAATTCAATTTTTCTGAGTTCTTTTTTCTTTTTTTCTTTCTTACTTACATACTTTTACATTTTTCAATGTTTCTGTTTTTCATCAGATGTGGTTCCAGAAAGTCGAGATTTGATCAGTCTAGTCAGAGAATATTTACAGAATGGTAATGATACACTTTCGATAGACCCTGATTTGGAATCTTACTGGAAGAGTGTAAAACCTGCACTGAGCGACTTAACAAATGCCCAGTGTTTTGAGGATGAAGCTGCACACCCCATCTTAAGATATGCTCAAGGTTTTGAGTGTATTGCAAACTACAAGTAAGATCAAATTATGATTCTGTTATTTTTTTTTTTTAAATGTAAATACTGTAGTCAATGTTTCGTATAATTTTGCAGGGGAGTACCTTCTATCATAAGCATAAAGATGATATCAAACCGTGGTCATCAGAAAAAGCATAAACTGGAATTAATCGCTGGAGGTGCAGCTTTTAATTTTGATCCAAGATGGCCTGTCCAGGTGAGGTTTGCTCTTGGTAGAGGTTTTTTTTCTTTCCTTTCTGACCACTTTATTTATATTGTCTTCACGAATTTCTAGGTGAAGAACTTTGTGCTCATTCTTGCCAAAAGTGATGGGTCTCCTGCTGTTGTACATGTTTTTAACAGTGAAAATACTTTGGCTCTTTGGCAAGAATGTTTGATGAGGATTGAACGGTTTTGGAACAACCCTGGCGCACTTGTATTAATAGATGGTAGGAATCAATAATTTTTTTCCAAAGTACGCACTGCTTTGTTCCTTATCATTAGCGGGCAGTAATTATTGCTTTGGTTTGTTTCTTCTTTCAGGAAGAATGAGGCCAATCGTTGCACCTCCTGTTGTGCATGAGGGTAAACCCAGTTACTATGAACGTGCTAAGAGCAAAAGGAGTTCTGCCAAATCAGTAAATGATTTTGTGCTAGTGGACACATTTGAAGCTGGAGTAAGAGACCAAAACACCCCAAAAAGTCATGATGCAAAGCCAGAGGTTAGATTGGACTCCCAGGAAGTAGAAAAGTGCATTTCAAATGAACAGCAACAAAGTGCTTCCCCAAGTAACATGCAGTCTGAAATCAGAACGCAAGATGATATTCCAACTACTGGCAAACTCCCTGAGAAGGAAGCCACCAACCCTCAGCAAAGTACTGCAGACTCTAATCCAAAGGAGGCTGAAGGAAATGTTTTACAGTCTCTTTGGAATTTTTGGAAGCTCAAATAATTTTTCTTTGGCACACCTTTTTGGTCTGAATATCATGTCTGACATACTAACAGTTTTTGAAAATGTGGTAAAAATATGTTACAGGTGCAAGAGTTGTGTAAGATGTAAACGGTAATGATCAATAATAAAAACACTAAGCAATACTGTTTTTATGGGCTTCGTTTAATTTATACAAAGTTTTAGCTTTTGCCACCTAAATTACAGTTGGAGACACATGACACAAAATTACATACACAGGTAAATTTTAGCAGGAGTTTGCTCTTACATAGGTATTAGTAACTAAGAAAGGTATAGCTATTATAATAAGATGCATAGAAGTTATAAGAGATGCATAAGTATGAAGTTTAACTAATACCAGGTAGGAAGTAGGTAATAGTACTATAAAGACACATACACCTAAAGAAAAATTTACTTTGCCAAACAGGCTGAAAAGGGATATCTTCATATTGATATTTTTTAATTGCAGCAAATTTAAGGGTTATTTTGAAAACACCACTGATGCGCTGCCACGCCTGCTTTCCTGCACTTTTGGGAATGAAGGAATAACAAATGATATAAAGAGAATGAGTTTCCTATTCTGAGATTCAGGTTGAAGAAAACTAAGAAATAATGTGCCAAACGAAATCACATCAAAATCATGTCCAAATAAGCTACCCACACATCAAAGTTCCCACATATACTGTATGATTTGAAGGATATCCAAGACCCATGTCAAATAACTAGCATGTGTCAGTAGATACAAAGGGGCTACCACACAAAGATCCTGTATTGCTCACACAGCAGACACTTTTTCTTTTGTTAACACAACAAAGTTTATACTTCCCTGATCTCAATAATTTTTTGAAAAGTGTCAAATTTGTCACTGTAATATAAAGGGGCAAAGTTAGACTGCTTGATCTGGTAAGATTAAAACAGATTTTCGGAGCTGTAAATTCACACCCATTGAGACCAAAGGTGTCTCTGTGAAATTATTACAATGCTGTTGTGCCCCTTAACTTTGGTTCTGTCTACAGTGCAGCGAGTTATTCTAGTGTCAGAAAAGAAAACGCACAAATGCGACTCACTACACACAGAGTAACTTAGTGACTCAATATCTTTTATACAATTAAGCAACAAGTGTGTCCCTGGTTAATTGAAATCATAGCCCTGACTAGAAGCTCATGACTGTTAAAAGTCCCTCCCTGGAATGGATTAAACACAGTGGTCTCTTTGATTTTCTTCAACAGACTTCTCCTTTATCTAAGTTTATGCAGTCATGATGAAAAATGATATGAACTATTCATGTGAAAAAAAAAGAGAAGTGGACAAGGGCACACAATTCCAATTCAACCTTTAAATGAGAGAAAGGCACAGTTGTACTGTGAAAGTACTGTGGTACCTGCAGAGAAAACTTGATGCTGAACACGAAATGCCTCTTTGGATTGTGCTGACACACTGCTGGTGGAAAATCAAATATTTAAACAGCAATAAATAAAATTTCATATGCCAATAAAAAAAACAATCTTATACATTAAACATGCATACACACTCTAAATATACGCATATTTTAAAACAAACCAAATAACATCTGAGTGCACTTTGACCTCAGATTCTACTTGCATGAAATGACTTAAGAACTCAGTACACAATTACAAGTAGATATAAGTTTTACTTTTATACAAAATAGCACTATTTTCAATGATACTTACGAATCTACATTTGTGTATGATTCATACACAAACTAGGACATAAGCCATACATAATGAGAGCAGGAAATGCAGCGTCACACACTTTCTATCTGCCTACATTTAGAGGCTTAGGGTTTCTTATTCATCTAAATCATTATATTACGTAAAATAAAATGCTAAAGATGGTGTTTGCAGAAACATGAAAAGAAAGAGTAAAAGTGGAGAGCACTTGGTAAAATTAATGAGTAAGGATAAAAATGCTAAAGTGGATGGAGTTTTCTTTTCTTTGAAATGGCAGCAAAAATCTCATAACATAATAACATAATAGTTCTTAAAAATAAGTATCAATATAATAAATAAATGTAACAAGTAAGACTGAGGAATTGTGCAAGAGCATATGAATGCCCAAAATTTCATTCAATATACAAGCTTTTTATCAATAAGCAGCATAAAATAAATAAGCTATTTATAGCAAATCACCAAATCAAAAGTAAATTAAAAATCATGCTGCCACATCTAATCCAACTTCTCTAATACCTTTCCTTTCCCCATGACTACATTCCACCGGGTAATCACAACCATATTACTAGGTGGTAAGAGCTGTCATTGATCACATCACAAGATGCGACCAAAGCAGCATATGGTCTTGTCAATCAGCCTTACAAGTGGCAAGCCTTCCTTCTATGCACCTTTCTCTCCTCAACCAGCCTGGAATTTCTACATTTATTTAATACCATAAAGAGTTAAAATGATGGCATGCAGTGGGAAAACACCTGACATCTTACAGTAGGTATTGTAGAACAACAATATGGGCACAAGTGAAGAATATCAATTAAGTGAATCATAGGGTCACAGTCAAAAAAACTCTGGCTAAAACCTGCTAAAAGGAGGTATTGTATGTCACCTTCTGGCAATCTACAGAAATTTTGCGATGATTCATTTAAGTAACACACCAGGAAATTGCTTTAAACATACATTGTGGAAACAAACAATAAACATGCGATGAGATTCTTCCATGTTTTTAGCATCTTCCACTGCTCAATCGCTTTCTAAGAAACATTCTGAGAGCTAGAAAAATGAAACAGAAACCAAAATATTAATTAAACTTTCAGAAAAAAGTAAACAACTGAAAATAAACTGCGTAACAACACTTGACATAACTCACCATCACATGACACCTCCACCTTACTCTTTGACTTCAAAGTATTTGTAGGTGGGGTTCTCGTAGCCGTTGATCTGCATGTTGGCGACGTGACGCTCCTCCGGGGTCGCGGCCTGGTCCACCTCCACGAAGCCCTGGTTCTGGGGCAGGCGGGCGCTCCTTCTCCTGAGCAGCGCGATGCCCACCACCACGGCGGCCATGAGCGCGATGCCGGCGAAGGCGAGCGTGAAGTACACGCCCTTGCTCTCCCGGCGGTAGTCGCGGCGCAGGGAGAAGGTCTGTCGAGTGCGCAACAAACACGACCACCATGAGTAGGCATTTTACCAATATTTCGTACCACAAAACCGGAAAAAAACTGGACAACCTCGGAGGCACCGGTGCATGGTCGTGGTGTTCGGTACTCACCGGCTCGCCGTGGCTGACGTCGTGGGTCTGGGCGTGGGCGACCTTGGGGCCCTCCTCCTTGTGGCTGAGGACGGCCAGCTCGGGGGCGGGGGGCGTGGGGCGCTCACGCTGGGGCTGGGCCTCGCGCTGCGGGGCGTGCTCGGCGGGGGCGGCCGGGGCGGCGGGGGCCGGCGACGACGTGGAGCTGCCGACGCTGCTGCTGCTCACGCTGCTGCTGCTGCCGGCGGGCAGGTTGGCGGCGGGCAGGTTGAAGAGCGGCAGGCTGGACAGCGGCGTGTCCTCCTGGTTGCTGCTGCTGTCGCTCACGTCGCGGTCGTCGTGCACGTCGTCGTCCAGCTCGGGGTCGAACTTGCTGGCGACGTCCTTGACGGGCTCCTTGGGCAGCGTCTTGCCGAACGCCGCCTCCACGCGCATCTTCTCCTCGCGCAGCTCCACGCGCTCCTTCTTGCGCTGCTCCTTGCGCTGCCGCTCCAGGGTGCGCTGTCGCTCTTTCTCTGCCGAAACGAAAAAAAGGCTCAGGGGTTTAGTAAGGTCTTTATGGAAGCTCTTCCATTTGACCTAGGTGAAAAGAAAAACTCGCGATTTACTCTGCTCACCTTCCTGCTGGGTGGCCACGTCGGCCTGGTACTTGTCCAGGATGGCGGACTCGGCGGCGCGGGTCATGGTGAGCAGGGAGCCGGGGGTGTCGTCCTTGCTGCGCAGGGCCTGGATGTAGTCCTCCATGAGCTGGCCGATCTTCTCCTGCAGTGACGGGAACCTGAAGGAAGGAGAGGGGCATTTTAGTTTTGGAACCAGGAAAAAAGGGCAGACGTGCACACTAGGTGAAACTTAAAGGACTTCATGGATGTACCAGGTGGCTCAGAAACCCCGCGACAAAATGATTGCAGGCTACACGCCTGCAGCCGTGCATGCGGGCTTGCCTATGCTCCGGTCTGCGGGCGCCGGGACGCTCTAGGGTGGCCACTCGTCCATGACGCACTGTCCACCGCGGCGCTGTCCTTCGCAGCGCCGTCGCCGTGGGGCTGTCCGCCGCGGACAGCGCCGCGCCGCGAAGGACAGCGCCGCGCCGCGAAGGACAGCGCGCGAAGGACAGCGCCCCGCCGCGAAGGACAGCGCCGCGCCGCGAAGGACAGCGCCGCGCCGCGAAGGACAGCGCCGCGGGGTGAAGGACAGCGCCGCGGTCCACGGTGGACAGTGCGTCATGGACGAGTGGCCACCCTAGAGCGTCCCGGCGCCCGCAGACCGGAGCGTAGGCAAGCCCGCATGCACGGCTGCAGGCGTGTAGCCTGAACTCATTTTGTCGCGGGGTTTCTGAGCCACCTGGTACATTCAGCACAACAAAATAAACTCTAAGGCCGTGTTTTGCCTGACTCTCACCGCTGCAGCATCTGAAGGGACTGGTTGACCATGCGGTCGATGTCGGTGAGGTGCTCCAGGGTGATGGGCTTCTCGCGCTCGGCCTGCTCGAAGGACGAGGCCAGCAGGTGGCGGTAGTGGGCGATGGTGTGGTGGCGGTCCTTGTGCAGGGCGCGGAGCAGCTTCTGCAGGCACTTCTGCACGCGGTGGGTCTGCGGACACAACGGGCAGGGTGAAACCAACCGCAACAAGACGCCGAACAGTGGGCCGGAAAACCGGTGGGGGCGGTCAAAATCCCGGACGCGTTTTGAGCTCGAGTCGCAGAATGGGACTCAAACCGAACGTGTAACCCCACCAATAGATTGCTCTCCGAACGAGAAATCCATTGGTGGGATCACACGTTTGGTTCGAGATCTGCTTAGCGACTCGGAGCTCAAAACGCTTCTGGACTTTTGACCGCATGCGCCAGTCTTCTGACCCACTGTACGCCACGGATTAAATTAACATTTCCAAGGGTTGGAAAACGCTCTCACGTTGGGTGGGCTGTCGTTCAGGGCGGTGGTGTAGCAAGTCATGGCCTCCTTCTTGCGCTGGTTGATGTGCGCCAGCACGCGCTGCTGGTGCATGGCCACGAGCTGGTGCTTCTCGGCGTCGCCCTCCTCCTCCAGGGACTGCACCGTCTTCTGGAAGCGCACCGTCATGCGCTTCTTGAAGTCCATGGCGCCCTTGGGGTCGAGCGCGCGCATCTCCTGGTAGCGCTCCTCCAGGTCGGACCAGTCCTTCATGACCTGCTCGCGGGGGGCAGGCAAGGACAGGGAACGTCACGCGGCGGCCCGAGCACGGCGCAGCACGGCGCGAGAAGTAGCCTCAAAGCGGCGCCGCCCGTCCGGCCCGCAGGCAGCCAGCCGCCAAGCAGCTAGCCGTCAGGCAGGCAGGGCGGAACGGCGAGACACACCACGGTGGACGCGGAGGCCAGATCAAGGGTCCAAACACTCACACAACCACCTCGCCAAACACGATCTCTTTCCGATCCGGCCTCCAGTGTCCATCGTCGGCCAGGTGCCCGTCCCGGCGGGGCCATGCGGAGTCCTGCGTCCTCCTCCCCGCCGGAGCACGGGCACTAGCGATGAGCAGACACAAACCTTAGTGACCTTCTCGCGGTGGGTCTCCTCCAGGCGGTGCTGGGCCTGCTTGTAGTCCTGGTGCTCGCGGCGGGGGTCGAAGTGCATGAAGTAGGGGTCGGGCGTGGGCGAGGGCGTCGGGTAAGGCGAGGGCGTGTTCCTGGCCTCGGCGGCGGGCACCATGGCGGAGGGCTGCGGGGCGGCGCTGGAGCTCGGCAGCCGCGTCGTCGGGGGCGTCACCTTGTTGTCGTCCGAGCCGTTGCCTGCGCAGAAACAACACTGAGGCCGCCGTCGCACAAAAGAACGCAAAACAGCTGCGGCCAATCGCACGCCCCAGTTTCTAATCTGTTTTCGCGTCACCCACCAGCGCCGGTGTCCTCGTCGTTGTACTCGTCCGAGTCGTCCGACTCGTCGTCGCCGTCGCCTTGGTTGTCACTGTCGCCCTGGTTGTCGGACAGCGCGCGGTCGCGGTCGCCCTGGTTGTCGGGCAGCGCCGCGTCCTGCTCCTCGTCGTCCAGGTCCTCCTCGTCCTCGTCATCCTCCGAGGCGTCCAGGGCGGCGGACGAGGCGTCGTCGGACGCGTCGAACGGGCTCTCGACGGCGTCCTCCTTGTCCTGCTTGTTGGCGTTGGTGGTGCTGGGCAGCGGGGCCATGTCCACGGGCAGCTTGACGCCCTTCATCGGGTCTGCAACAGAAAACAGTCCGGTTGAGTGCGCTGCTGGCGGATAGGTTGCCCCGCTGTACCGTAAATACGGCAGGCAGGCTGATGCATGTGCAAGCAGCGCCGTGCCTCGCTTCACCCCGTCCCGTAACGCAGGGCTGGCGGGGCTGGCGGGGCTGGCGGAGCGCAGAGGGCCTAAGTGGATTAGAGGCACGAAGACCGGGCGGGGGTTCGGCCGCGAGACCGGGCGGGGAGGAAAAGCCAAGGACACTCGCCATCGCCACTCGCTCCGCCACCGTGTGGCCCTTTCACCCGCACAGCGGGCGCAGCTAAAATTCTAGATGCGTTTTGAGCTCCAGAGTCGCTTAACAGGACTCAAACCGAACGTGTGACCCCACCAATGGATTCCTCGTTCGGAGAGCAATCCATTGGTGGGGTAACCCGTTCGGTTCGAGTCCTGTTTAGCGACTCTGGAGCTCAAAACGCGTCCGGGATTTTGACCGCCTCCACCGGTCTTCTGACCCACTGTGCCGTGCGGCCGAGCGGCCCTTCCCTTTCGCTCTCGGCCTGCCGGACGACCCAAGCGATATTTGTTGGCCGTCATTAATTCGACATCCCGGACCGCCGGACGCTCCAGTGGGCCGCCCGTCGTCACTGCGATGGGATGGGACGAGGAGAGCAGGAAAAGGGAGGGGGCTTATGACACACGGACAATGGAAGGGTTAGCCGCGCGCCCGACCAGGCCCGACGCCCCCACCCTCTCCAGCCTCCAACAGCAGCCACAGCACGGACACACTCACACACACACCAACACACACACAAAATGTGCACCATTGTCTCGGTTGGCCGGACTAGACACCGCCGCTTCCGACATCGAGGTCGCCGCTGTGTCCTCCCCGGAGCGAGAGACGCGCGCACCACGAGGCCAACGCGGACACCGCCAACAGAATTCGACGCGAGAGAGAAAGTTGGACAAAGAGGGACAGCTGCCCGCAGGCATGGACGAGCCAGGAGAACTCGGGCACCAGGAGCAGTGCCGCAGCAGACAGCTTCAAGAAGCGCGCGGCTTCAAGCCCTGCTTGCCTGCTCGGCCTTGCGCAGCTGCCAAGGCAGACGCGGCGACACCAAAGAGTGCTTTCCACCGAGTTGGAGCCAAGTAGCGCGGCAGCGGAGAGGCGGGGCAAGTAGCGGGGCGCGGCTATTTGCCAACCCGGGCCGAGCCGAGCGTTTCAACAACCCCCTAAAAGTTACCAACACACACACACACACACACACACACACACACACACACACACACAATATATATATATATATATATTCACGCAAGCATGAGCATTTAACGGAATCATCATTATTTTAACTGATTTTCCAGAACGAGATCAAATTACCACGCAGAGTGGAGCCAACAACTATTCATTTATATTGCCCTTTTTTCGCGTGTAAGGGCGACTGTCGGGAGCAACCAGCAGCGGGCCGCCATCTCCAGCCACGCTCATTTTCAAAGACGCCAAGTAATTGGAAACGCCATTTAGGCGACGCCCCCTCCCCTCCCCTCCCCTCGCCGCCCCCTTTCCCGCGGTGCCCGTCCGTTTTTCTCCGCGGCCCTGCTGATGACATGTGAGCCATGTCGCCACATCCTCTCAACTTGTCCCAGCTCCTCCCCTTCCCCCTATCCGCCCGATAAAACACACTCGGGTCGCCCCCCCTCCCTTCCCCCGCCCCCACTCCAGTGACTCGCCGGGTTTCCCGCTCCAGGCCCGTGGCCCCAGCCCCCCGCCCTCGCCTGGCTCCGTCATGGGTCCACCTAGTTACGTAAAGTTTCCGCTGGCGTCGTTCTGCAGACCGATTCCGAGAGTCGTCTTCGTCGCTCTGTCTCTCTTGCACCTGCACGGAACGCCTCATGAGCGCGAGAGAGACAGACTGACGAAAACGACTCTCGGAATCGGTCTGCTGCCCCCGGCCCCGGCCGGCACCCTTATCGCTCAACCCGAATGCCTTTCATGTCCTTCACCGGGGCCAGCTCGCCGGACGGACGCGTCGGGCTGCTGTCACTCGTTGAGCCGCGCGGTGACGTCACTGTTTCACGGTTTTTGTCCGGCCGGATAAAGGCCTTGCCACCGGGACCACGCCAGGGCTGCCAGGGCTGCCAGGGCTGCCAGGGCCGGGGCGCGAGACCGCAGTCACTCCAAACTGTTGGCTTGTGGCGGCAGGGCGCGGCACGGCGGGGAGACTGAGGGCGGCCCTTCAGGGCGCTAACGAACCAGATGGGGAGCCCCCAGCGCCCCGTCCCGTCCCGTCCCCGCGGCACTGACGCGCTGCCGCGCTGACGCCGCCAAGGCCAGGGCCAGGGCGGGCTGGGGACGGCGCTGACGCCGAGGCTCTGATCCGCCACAACGGGCCGGGCTTTGCGCGCTTTGCGCCAGGCACCGCCGAGCACCGCCCTGTTCCGTTTGATGGCGGCAAGCCCCTGACACGCTTTCGCCGAGCCCGCCTCCGCATGCGTCCTGCGCCCCTCCGTCCGACCAGCCAGCTCTAGAGTCCTAAAGGCCCTAAAGGGGAGATCCGCGAACCGCGTCTTGACTTCTGACCGATTTTGGTGCTCATACTGACGACCAAAATGTCCGCCATGCGCTTCCGCTTCCGGCTTGCGTTTTTAAGATTCGTCTGGCAGAGCCTGAAAACGTCTAAACAGTTTGCATCTGACGTTCAATAACTGTTCAGTTGACTATTTTAGAGAAATGAGGAGCTTTTTAGGCCTGTTCCAAGCGCCGTCAAGTCCCTTGATCTCAAGATGCCTCAAGCAGACGACACAACATCAAAACAAAGCGTCGGTGACGAACAAAATGTCCGCCGTGCGTTTCCGCTTCCGGCGTGGGTTTCTAAAATTCCGTGATGAGCCTCGAAACGTCTAAACTGTCGACATGCGATATTGAAGGGGTCTTCAATCAACTATTATAGAGAGCTGAGGAGGTTTATAGGACTTGTTCGAAGTGCTACCAGGGCTCTAGGCTTCACGAGGCCCCAGCAGACGACACAACATCACAACAAACTATGAGGAATTACGCATAGCACTTTCTTCGAGTATGAGAAGCAAAATCAGAACATTTTTCAAGTTCGCGGATCTCCCCTTTAGGGCCTTTAGGACTCTAGCCAGCTCACGTCCAGCATCGCGACCTCCTCCGGGCACAGTGGGCCAGAAAACCAGCGGAGGACGCGTTTTGAGCTCCAGAGTCGCTAAACAGGACTCGAACTGAGCGTGTGACCCCACCAATGGATTCCTCGTTTGGAGAGCAATCCATTGCTGGGGTCACACGTTCGGTTCGAGTCCCATTCAGCGACTCCGGAGCTCAAAACGCGTCCGGGATTTTAACCGCCCCCACCGGTCTTCTGGCCCACTGTGCGGCTGCGCCTCGCTGCTGCGGCAAGCCAAGGCGTGCGGGGTAGGCCAGCCCGCCGCGCTGCCGCGCGCCGCGACGGCCTGCCTTCCATTACCATTACCATTAAGGGCTAGACCACACATGATCGTAGGCGCTCCGCTCCGCTCGGCTCCGCTTGCCCGGGCTCGCCGCAGCAGCCACTCCCAACTTGTTCTTGTACCGCGCCGCCTCGGTCGAGTGCAACTCGCAGCTCGCCTCGCCGCCGCGGGCCTCGCCGGGTCTTCGCCTCCTCGCCGCCTCTGCCTCGCCTGTCAATCTGTCCGGGCAACTCGGCGCCGCCCGGCGCGCACCTCGCACGCCAAACTGCCGAAACAAAATTAGCGCGGCGCGCGAGCGCCTGGAGTGGAGTACGCTGGCGGTTAGCTGGCGGTGCTGGCGGGGTTGGCAGCCAGCTGCGGCCTCTGCCCTGGCGGGCATCAAGTTGACTCGCGGGGGAACTCGCCAGCCACTCGGCGTGTCACTCAAAATGGTGTCTGCTGGCGCCGCGAAAACTCGCTGCGCGCTGCCCGGGCTGGCGGTACCAACTGCGCCGCGCTGGATGGGGGCGGCACGCCGCACGGCCCCGCTCGCAACGGCATGCAGTGATGGCGAGGGTGATTAAAACACACACACACACGCGTGGTGTGTGTAAGTGTGTGTATGTGTACGTGTACCCGGAGGCTGGCAAGAGGATAATGGCGTCGGGGCCGCGGCCCCGCTGCACGATGGAGACCAACAACAACGTCACGATTGTCAGGTCCCCGGGCCTTTGGGGTCCGCGCCTCCTCATCATGAGGGCGGCAAGGCGTCGCCCGCGCCCCGGGGCCGCCCGAGGCCAGCGGCGGCCTTGACCCGGACGACGAGGAGGGGGCAGGGGTGGGGGCGGTGGAATTCTCATGCGCGAAACGCCGCACAACGCAGAACGCGCAGAACGCAGCGGGCGCGGCGTAATTCGGCGCTAGCCTCGCCTTCGGATTAGGATTGGGCGCCAATATCGCCCGGCCCGGGTAATCCTCGCCTCCCCCTCCACCCGGACGAGCAGTGAGTCGCACAGAGGGCCAGAAGACCGGCGGAGGCGGCCAAAATTTTAGACACGTTTTGAGCTCCCCTAAGTCGCTTGATGAGACTCGAACTGACCCCATCAATGGATTGCTCTCCGCACGAGGAATCCATTAGTGGGGTCACACGTTCGGTTCGAGTCGTGTTTAGGGACTCTGGAGCTCAAAACGCGTCTGGAGTTTTGGCCATCCCCAGCGGTCTTCTGGCACATTGTGCGTCGGCGACGTGGCCTGAAATGATACCGCACGCGCCCCGCTCTTCCCCTCTCGACTTTTCCCGACGCGACCTCCATTCTAGTGCGGCCTGGAAAATCCATGGCGCTCCCCGCCCCGCCCGGCCCGGCCCGCTCCAGCCTAGGCCGCCGCCCTGGGACCGCAGCGGCGTCTCGGCGCGGCGACGATCTCAAAATTGAATACGTGCCGTAACGCGTTGGCGGCGAGCCGCTCGCTCGGCGATCACCCCGCTCTCAGACCACACCGTAATTTGGAGCGAGATAAGGCTGGCTACACTGCGCGGCGGAAACGGCGGCGGAAAAATCCAGCCAGGGCG